CAATAAATATTTCACAAGCTGCCATAACAGATCACAACTGTATCTAATGTGTGGAGTTGGAAAATGTGAGAAAATAAAAATCAAAGTGATCTGCATTGTAATACATAAGACATGTCACTAAGATACTATTTCAAAAAAGGAATGATGACTTGGTAGGACTGGGAAAAATAAAAACAAAACTACAATTTACACAGTGAAACCTTGAAAGGATGTTTTAGAATTGCTGAAGAATTTCATTAAAAGTTTGAACCAAAATTACTTAGTTTGCATTCTCAAAACAAATCAGAATGACCAATTCACAATGATGTATATAACACATATGTGGATGGCCGGCCACCATCTAAGAAATAGCAATCTTTCCATAGGGTGCCTTTGGAGAGTGCAGAGAAATGTTATCTATGTTCTCACCCACATGGTGACTCCTTAAAGTATCAAAGGTTCTCAGTCTGGAATTTTCTACTCAACAGGGCCTCACATTTTTCACTTATGACTTAATATAGAATAAAAGATCACCATCTCAAAAGTTGAAATTTCTTATGAGGAGATCTGATTCCTCTGAACCATTGTTCTGTGTTACAGAAATTCAACTATAACTTTGGACCTCTTGCTAGGAAAAATAGCTTGCAATCTTGTAATTATCTAATCAAAAATGTTTCTTATTTTTTTGATGCTTCCCATATTTGACTTTATTTGCTATTTCATCACACAACTGATAAGAATAGCATCCAAACCAGCGATGTGAATTATTTTCATTTTCTACATTACTTTTAATTTCACAATCCCTCCATAAATCCATTCCTACTTTTGTTCTCTTCTCTCCCTCTTTCCAAAGAGACTACTTTAAAGCTAGGATCGGAGATAAATCTTTTCTTTTACTTTGACTAACACTTGCTTGATGTGTTCCACTGGCAAATCCTGATATTTCAGGAAACTGTTGTTTTATATGCCTATTTTATGAACCAAATTATAGTGTTAAATCATTTATAGAGAACCATTTCTGAATTAGACTGTTTTATATGGCAGAAGAGTTACTTCTGTGTGTCTTCAGAAAATCTGGCTCCCAAAAGGATCAAGACCCATCTTGGGCTGGTCATTGGAGAAGAGTCATCTGTCTTGGGGCTTCCTCTCACCATACACTGAAAGCTCGGGGAGAACCTGATGCCAAATTAATTTTTCATACCAAACCCACCTATATTGCAATTCTGATGTGCATAATGGGATTCATAATTCACTTCAGCACTTCTTCAATTCATGCATTAATCGTTGCCTCTAATCCCTTAAACAAACCGCTGAGAACTTTAGCAATTTTGGAGCATTCTATCCTTCAGTCCTCTGAGAGCAAAGGAAACGAACAAAGAAAGAAAAGCTATAGAGTCTCATTTCCAGAATTACAAGCCCAACAGGCATTTACTGTGCATTAACTTTGCTACACATGATGGCACTCTGTGAGGCGCTTTGTGTTCTCGTTCTCTCCTATTAAACTGGTGGTCAAATTTCATAAGAAAGTTCTAACTTAACAGAAATTTGCTTTACTATAGACCCACTGCAAGCTATTAAACAAGTTACCTATTCTTTAAATTTATATTTTAATTATTTACAATTTTCATTGTTTTCCAAATTCAATTTTAATAGTTTGAATCATTAAAAAATCTTCAACAGAGTGGATATTTATAAGCATGGCAATATTTCATACTAAAGGGCGCCTGGGTGGCTCAGTTGGTTAAGCGACTGCCTTCAGCTCAGGTCATGATCCCGGAGTCCTGGGATTGAGTCCCACATCGGGCTCCCAACTCAGCGGGGAGTCTGCTTCTCCCTCTGACCCTCTCCCCTCTCATGCTGTTTCTCTCTCTCTCTCAAATAAATAAAATCTTTAAAAAAATATTTCATACTAAATAACTGTAGATAATTTGATTCAGTTCATTTTTAATATCAGAAAATTGGGAAATAATTTTAAGAAATGTGAAATAAATATAGCACTTAGTGTTATATTAATTTATTCCACAGCTACATAACTAAAATCAAAAATGAAAGGCAAAAGTATTTGTTCATAATCTCTTCAAAAACTTTAAAACATCAGATATCTTTTAGCAACTTAAAAATGTTGAGTTTCCTTCCTTTAAAAATAAAATAATTTCTATTTTTTATCTTAAAGATGTACATCCTCCAGTATATGAGCAATTTCAAAAATCATATAAGCTTTTAGAAACTGAAAAATTATAAGACAAGTAATTTTTGAAGTTAAAATAAATAATACTAAGATATTACTATGACAAAAGAATATAATTGCAAAGTTACAATCTGAGTTATTCGCATAATGATCAATGAAGCAATAAATTTTCTACACATATGTATTAGGTTCAAAAAAGTGGTTTAAAGAAAATGATTTCTCTTTTTTTAATTAAGCCTTTAGTTATAGTCTCTGAAGCATTCTACTGAGACACATTCAGTACTGAGATGAATACAATGCTTATAATAATTATTAAATGACAACTTCTGGAGAGCTAATCCTTTTTAATAACTGCCTATTTGAATAATTTTATTGTTTTTTATATAACAGATTCTACCAGTGAGATCTGCTGAATAATGAACATACAGGCTGCTTGTGCTTCATTTACATGCCAACTGTCATGCTCATGGGAACTAAGGCAAGTGTCATCTCTTCATTCCTCCTGATCCTTGCCATTTCTGAAGCTGACTTGGTGACCATTCCAGATCACCAATGCACATGCATAACTCCCAACCTGACCCACCTTCTTCTTAGTTGCCCTACTGCCAGTCCAGGGCAATGCCTGCTTTCAGGAGATAAAAGAGGGGAGGGCTGTTTCATCATTCATCAACATGCCCCAGAACTTCTTGCTCCTCCCAAATCTACCTTGCCCCTCAAATCTTAGTTCTTCATCTAGAGACAGAGCTTTGGGTTTACATCCAAAATGGTAATGGGTCTTTACCAAAGTAAAGCTGTTATTTACATACAAGGAATTACAGAAACAACACTTTATTAAGACTGCTTGAGGGGTGCGTGGGTGGCTCAGTTGGTTAAGCGACTGCCTTCAGCTCAGGTCATGATCCTGGAGTCCCAGGATCGAGTCCTGCATCAGGCTCCCTGCTCAGCAGGGAGTCTGCTTCTCCCTCTGACCCTCTCCCCTCTCATGCTCTCTCTCTCTCTATCTCATTCTCTCTCTCAAATAAATAAATAAAATCTAAAAAAAAAAGACTGCTTGAAAATGCAACTTCCCTTCATTTATGTTTATACTCCTAGTTTGTTTCACAGGATGGCTTATAGTAAGACTTTCAAAAAGACCCAGACGGGTGTTACTTCATTTTGGGACCAAAGTTTAAAGACAAGTTTGAGGGATGCCTGGGTGGCTCAGTCGGTTAAGGGTCTGCCTTCGGCTCAGGTCATGATCCCAGGGTCCTGGGATCGAGTCCTGCATTGGGCTCCTTGCTCGGCGGGGAGCCTGCTTCTCCTTCTGCCTGTCGCTCCCCCTGCTTGTGCTCTCTCTCTCTGACAAATAAATAAATAAAATCTTAAAAAAAAAAAAAAAGAAGGAGTTTGAGCCGATGCCTTGTTCTTTGGGACCAGGGAGGAAAGAAAATAAATACCATAATCCTGATGAGAAGCAAACAGTGATGGTAGTGAAGAGAAAATAACAAAAAACAAAACAGGAAGGATATTTTAATAAAGCCAGCCTCACTATCCATAACAGAGGTACATGGGAACATACGAACCTCACTCACAACCTCTCTTATCTTGGCCATATCAGCCCCACTATCATACACTATTTGCCAAGCAATGGAAATGCCAACCTGCTTCAGTGAGAAAGATGGAAAACTGTGAGTTTAAAAGAAAGTTTTTTGACCCATTTCCAGGGCACACCAAATTTGAAACCCTAAATGCAATTTCTTATAGGAGCATTATTTATGGTTATAAGGTGCTGAAATATTCTAGAACTAGATAGCCATATATATATATATATATATATATATATATATGACCTAAGCCAATCCACCCTTGGAGTACTGACCTTCATTATAGATACTGGACTGTTAACAAGACTGACTTTGGTTTCTTACATTGCATAGCCAGCAATCTATCTATCTATCTATCTATCTATCTATCTATCTATCTATCTATCCATCTCACTCTCTCTCTATATATATATATATAATTTTCATTGAGTTAGCCTAGAGATTGAACCAACATGGACTTGCAAATAAAAATTAGAAACAAAAATTCTTTTTAAAAGTTTGCAAATGCCATAATCATGTTTCAGTTTTATTAAATATTTTTAAAATGCAAAATAAAATATATACTTTACTGGAGAATATCAGTAGCACAGATGATTTAAGAAGAAAAAAAGTTTTCTAAATATATTTTGCCAGAAAAAATATTGTCTTAAATTCCATCTTCCTCCTCCAAAAGATTCCCTTAGCCAAAATCATGAAAGAATGGCATCATATATCGTATTGGGAAAAGGATTTTAAATCTATGATAAACCAAAAGTAAATAATTTAACTATAAATATCTGAGAGTTGTCTGCAGAAACTACCACTCATTTTGGTGTCTGAAATTCAATTGTGTCACTCCCAGTGGAAACCCTTGCTATGTAATGTAAGAAACCAAAGTCAGTCTTGTTAACAGTCCATTTTCTATAATGAAGGTCAGTAGTCCAGGGGTGGATTGGCTTAGGTCATTAAATCTAACCTCAGTAAATAGTAATCAATAAGAGTGAAAGAAAGAATATGTCACAAAGAGAAAAAGAACATACTGAGGGATGGTTTATTCTACAAAACACGAGGGAAAAGAGCAACATGGAAAAACAACTCGTCTATGCTACCAACATAATTTTAATTTTTTAATTAGCATCTTTCTTCTCTACCCGTGTTTTAAATCCTGATCCCAGAGTATTATAAACATCACAGAGCTGATGATCCAGAAATGCTCTATCACCAGGAAGTCTTGTTTTTAAGGAAAACATGCACATAGTCTATATACTTACTGGAGATGTTGATACTTGGGTTATTCTTAACTGGCTTTCCAAATCTTGTACTTTGTTTTTAAGTTCCATATTTTCGGTTTCTAAGTCTTGAATCTAAAAAGCAATGATTATTGAATAACCTTCAGAAATTTATTCTTGGAAAATATTGGCCATCATATTGGCTACATTAATGAATAGGATTTTATATTATTTAAAATTTTAATGTACTCTTGTGCACAGGGGAGAAAATCATTTGATAAAGGTTGGGGACTATCAGGAAATTCTAGATCATTGGAAAGACCTTTTATTGGATTTAAAATATGTTTTTACACGTGTGCAAATTCCATGTTTCTAATACCTCATCTCTGTGTTTTCTGGTTGCACTGTACAGTCTGTTACCCATAATCTTGGAGTATAACCGCAAGACAGTGAAACTTGCTTATGATGACTTTGAAGACAGTGGAGAAAGGGTGTAATTTAATTACAAAGGAATCTGATCTGCATGGGAAACCACTTACCCAGCATCTGCTGCTTCTGCTGCTCTGATCCCCATGAGAAGCATCAGGAAGTGAAGCAAAGTCACATGAGAACACTAAGTTCTTGTGGGAATTCAATATAAAATGGTTAAAAACTGTGCAGGGGATCAGGAATGAAAAATTATAGGAACACAGTGAAAGCAGTTCCAATCAGTGTGGGGGAAATTTAATGGCAGGCCTTCTAAATTTGTTTGAGGATATGCAAGTTTCCCTGTACTTACATCACATAAACATGAAACAGAAAGTTTAGTTTACTCACTCTTTTCTGTAATCCTGCAATCTGTTTCCTTGTTTCAACATCTTTTCCTCCAGATTCTAGAAATTTCCTGTATGCCAGGTCAAATGCTTGGCCAATTGTTAAAGTTATTTCTTCAGCCTTTGTAAAAACCAAAGATTTGATATGTCAGACTGTTCTTTGAATCAAGAAAAACATTCACATGAGGTACTTCAAAGGGGCGATGGCTGCAGGTAGAGATGTGGTCAATGAATCAAGTCGTCTATGCTAACATAATTCAATGCCTATCCATGCACAAAATTAAAAAAAAAAAAAGCTTTGGTAATTAAATGAGTAGCTGTTGAAGTTGGAAGCAGGAGTTCTATCCACCTTCTCATCTATTTCATCATAGCATTTTTTCCTAGTTTGTTTTCCTTCTTTCCTCAAATATTTGGTGCCTATTAAATGAAAGCATGTTGCCAACTGCAGTTCTCTTGTTGCTTTACTACTTATTTCCTCTTCCTAATGAGGAGGGCCGGTTAAACCTGGCAGGTAACTCGAATGAGGCTGACCGGGTGGTGTCGTGGAAAACTTGAGGTATGCCCTCTCAAAGTGTAATAATCAGTTCCAGTTAATTGTTGGCTTGTGGAAATGAACAATTCCAACCCAGAGTTGTCAGATTTTAAAAATGGGAGATGAGGTCAGAAATCTGAATTTTTATATGAAAACTCCCAATTGTAAATGATAGTAAACCATATTACTGTAAAACACAGTGCCTATTGAACAAAATATATCTGTTATCTGAATTTGGCCTCAAAAATAATTTAGAGTTTCTCGTTAGTCAACCAGAAACTGCCACAAATGTCCAAAGTCTACCAGTTCATTCCCTCCTCATTCATATCTTGACTGGGATCAGTGTCTTGCACAATGTAAACACTAAATAAAAATGTATTTATTTTATTAACATTTTATTAAAAAGATTAGTGAAGGCATTAATTGATTTAATACATCAGAAATGTCATATTTATTATAAGATTTCCAGATGACATAAAAACTGGTGGTAATATTAAATCTTGAAAATGCCATGCTTTAATTTACTGCAAATCCTAAAGCTTTGTGATATGCTATGAACAATCTAAATTGCAAATATGCTTTATTAATAACAGATTTTTTTAATGTTTCAAGCTTTTATTTAAATTCTAGTTAATTAACATAGAGTGTAATATTGGTTTCAGGAATGGAATTTAGTGATTCATCACTTACATACAACACCCAGTGCTCATCACAAGTGCCCTCCTTAATCCCCGTCACCCATCTAGCTCAACCCCTGCCCACCTCCCCTCCAGCAACCAATCTAGTTAAGAGTCTCTTTTATGAATAACACGGATTTAATTAAGACATTGTCATTTTTGTAGTTCACTATTTGTTTAAAGAATGCCTTTAGTATAAAAAAATAATTTAATCCAGTTAACTAAAAAATACAAAATATATTCCTAAAGTTATATATAAGTACTATCTGCCTCACAAAAAAGGGGAAAAAAGAAGCTACATTAAGGAATACTACAGAAATGAAAACGCCAGATACCAAACTATGTGTGCTCAATGATTCCAACTAATGAAAAAGTACACATATAAAAAAACTAGTTGCATTGGTTGTTGTGATCACATATAATATTAAAACATAGTAAATGTGGTTATAATAGATTGTGGGACTATCATTTTTTAAATCTCTAACTTCAAAACTTAAGGTAATGCGTTAGTATTTGTTTTACAATAATAAAGACATATTTGTAAATTCTGGTTGTTTTTTCTACCTTCTTTATTATGGGTTCAGTGTGTCCTCCTCCTAAGACAGTATGTTACCCTCAAATACTCAAGGTGTACATTACAGAGAATTGTTTCAAGGGTAGCAAGTTTGATTTATCATTAATAACATTTGACTTGATTATAATTGTTTACAATAACTTTTAAAAATCATATTCTCTTTTTATGATAAGACATATCTTTTGTGATTAAGACATCTTTTTATTAAAACAGCATTTAACTCCCCAGAAAATATTTTGCATACATTACCTCACTTGATTCTCATAATTAATCTATGAGGTAGGGATTATTATTATCCCCACAATACAAATGCAGCTTCAACTCTGTGAGATCTCAATTTGTGAGTGGAGAAACTGGATTTAAATCCAAAATTTTGACTCTACAAGCCCTCACACATTTTTATAAACAATAAAACATACAGATTATATTTGCACAATCAGATGTGCTTTGATAAATGTATATACCTATATAAGCACCATATCATTAAAGATATAGGATATTTCTATCTTCCTAGAAAGTTCTCCCATGCCTACTTGCAGTCAAATCACTTATCTTATGGGTAACCATTGCAAGAATTCCATCATCATAAATCAGTTTTGTCTGTCCTTGTATCCATAAAAATGAACCATATAGTATATATATATTCTTTTCTGTCTGGCTTCTTTTGGAGTTTCTTAGATGTTGTATGTATCATTTGTTTTATTGCTGATTAGTGTCCCATCTAATGAATATACCAGATGATTTATCTATTTGCCTGTTAAGGAACACTTGCATTGTTTTCAATTCTTGCTTATAAATAAAACTGTTACATTCTTCTAAAATCCTTTTGTGGACATCTGTTTTCAAAAATCTGGATATCTTCAATGGAAATGCTAAATCATAGAATAGCTCTATTTTAACATTACAAGAAACTACCAAACTGATTTGCAAAGTAATTGTCCCCTCTTACATTCCCACCAGCAGTAAGAGAGTTCTCGTTGCTCCTCATTCTCACCAATATCATATATTGACAGTCTTTTTAACTGGTCACCCTAACTGAATGAGTGATGCTATCTCAATGTGTTTTTAATTTGAATTTCCCTGTTGAATAATTACATTAGCCCAGTTCCATGAATGACTAAGATGAATTCCCCCATCCAATCATTTAATGAAATATAAAGAGCAAGAATATTTGTTAAATCCAAAAAAATTTATTTCAAAAAATTATTACAAGGCAAACATGAAATACAACAAGAATATATAATAAATAGCTTACAAATAAAGCCTGTGAAAAGACTGGGTGTAATGATTCCTTCTAGTAATAATAATTTATGATTCTTTTGACACATGAACCTTTTTTACAATTAGTTAACAAGTAAGAGAGAGGTTTTAAACTTTGCCTTATCTACATCTCACTTCACATAAATAAAGGAAAATATGCTGGTGGGGTGAAGCTTTCATCATTTATTGGGGCTACTATTTAAATTTTATCAAGTGTAGAGGCTCCTGGGTGGTGAAGTCAGTTAAGCAGCAGACCCTTGATTTTGGCTTGGGTCATGATCTCAGGATCGTGAGATCAACCCCTGCATCAGGCTCCATGCTCTGCACAGAGTCCGCTTGAGAATCTCTCTCCCTCTGCCCTTCCCCACTTGTACTCACACTCTCTCTCTCTCAAATAAACAAATCTTAAAAATATATATATATCAAGTGTAACATCCAGTGAATAAAGTATATTATATTAACATTTGGAAAAAAAATTGAAAAAATGATGGCTAAGGAGTTGATACTGATTGTATATTAACCTTATATGAAATAAACAAGATCAGTCACATCATAATGATTATCTATATTGTAATTTTATTTTTTAAACTTAATGAGATCACTACAGTAGTTGTATAAATATTAAATCTTAATAACACATGATACTAATAAAGTGAGTTCTAATTTTGTAGCATACTAGGGTAGGGTTTCATCTGAATTTCAACCAAGCTCTTAGAAATTCACAAAAGTACTGAATATATAAAATACAAGGAATAAAGAGAATGAAGTAAGAGCAGAGGGACTCTGGAAAGGTCACAGTCATGGGAGTAATATAACATGGAAGATGGAAGAATGTGGAATGGGAATCTAGGGTCTCACACTGGACTTCTGATTCTATTGTTACCTAGCTTTCTGATTCTGAGAAAGGCACTAAATCTCTCTGGCCTAGATTTACTTAAAATAAGATGAAAATGAAAACAAAATATAGCCATAGGTTTTTTTCCAGGTATTTTTTAGCTGATATGCAATTATAAGAAATAATACAGAGAGATCATGGGTACCCTTCATCCACTTTCCCCCAATGGTAATAGATTACAAAAACTATTGTACAAACCCCACCAACTAATACTGATATTAATATAGTCAAGATACAGAATAATTCCATTACCACAAAACTGCCTCATCTTGCTGTTTTATAGCCACATCCTCTTTGTTTCCCCTTACCATGTCCTTAACTCCTGAAAAACACTAATCTGTTCTCCATTTCTTTAATTTTGTCATTTCAAGATTATAAAAACGGAGTCATACAGTATGTAAGCTTTTGGGATTGACTTTTTTCATTCCATAATTATCTGGAGAGTTACCAAGGTTGTTTCATGTATTAATAGCTCATTCTTTTTTCTTTCTGAGTAGTATTCCATGGTTTGGATATACCAGAATCTGTTTAACCATTCACCCATTATCTGAGATATTTGTAGTTTGGGGTTATTATGAATAAGCTGCTATAAACATTCATATGTAGGTTTTTGTATGAACACAAGTTTTTATTTCTCTGGGATAAATGCCCAAATGAGTCATATGATAATTGCAGGTTTAGTGTTTTTATGAAACTGCCAAACTGTTTACCCCAGTGTTTGTACCATTTTATATCCCAATAACTATGTACAAGTGAACCACTTTTCCATATCCTTGCCAGCATCTGGTATTGCCACTTTTTAAAATTATTTATTTATTTATTTATTTTAAAGATTTTATTTATTTAATTGGGACAGAGAGAGCACAAAGGCAGGGGAAGGGCAGAGGGAGAAGCAGACTCCCTGCTGAGCAGGGAGCCCAATGCAGGGCTTGATCCCAGGACTCTGGGATCATGACCTGAGCTGAAGGCAGATGCTTACCTGACTGAGCCACCCAGGCGCTTCTATTGCCACCTTTTTTTATTGTAGTTTTTCTGATAATTGTACAGTGATACCTCATTTTAATTTGCATTTCCCTAATGGATACCAGTGTTAAAATCTTTTCATGTGCTATTTGCCATCTGACTATGCTCTTCCATGAAACGATCCGTCATATCTTTTGTCTACTTTCCAATTTGATATTTT